TTGCTTTTAGAAAACAAATGACCTGGCATTTTAAAGCAATTCCCACACCAAAAAAAAAAAAAAAAAAAAAAAAAAAAAATCAATCAGTAAAACAAATTTTTGTGCCCCAAAGTAAAAGTAGATTCTCAGAATTCTAATCATAAAAACAAGAAATCATTTAAAAGCTCTGAATTCTAAGGAATATGAATATGAAAATCTATAAAAGACTCTTCAGAAATGAAAGTATGGGTAGTAAGCCCCAAATCAATACTAATTTTATATAACATTTCAAATTTTAAAAATATGTTCAAGCAAAATTTGAATTTTGTTTTTTTTTTATTTGAATTTTGTCTGGATTGCAACTACTTACTAAATCACTAAGTACCATTAATATGAGAGCAAAACTTGAAATTTTGCGAAATTTGATTTAATTAAACTCTAAAATAATCTCAAGGAACCAATGCCAATGAGTGAAGGTTTCCTAGGAGGCAAATTCATGAGTCAGAAGAACAACCCTCAGATGAAGCCCAGATAGAGTACCTTGCTCAAAGTAGAGGGTGTTTTATAATTCCTCACTGAATGGTCATGGGGAAAACAGCAGATAACATCAAAAGATTTTATATGTAAATCTTTTCTTCAACAGATAACCAAAATGCTGAACTGCATACACACACATTTATATATACTCAACTTCTATGTATCTGTAATTGAAAACACTGCCTGAAAAATAAGCTTCCTCCTCTCATGTCCAAATAGAGGTGAGAGCCGCTAACAACTTAGGAGGACCCAGCTCATGAGAGTAGAAGGAACCCTTACAACTCATGGTCTTCCCTCCTTTGTCTGTATTGCTGCCATGTTAATCAGTAACTGAAGCCGGGTCCTTGAAATGTAGCAGTAAATTCCTGGTATTAGCCAAACCACAGCATATTCAGCATTTAGTAAAATGCTTAACTTCTCATCACTAAAAAAATAGCAGGTGTCAGTGTCCCAGGGCAGAAGCCAAGAGGCCAGTGGTTTTCAAGCTGTTTGGGGAAGGGGGTGAGGGCAGAGTATTGCTCTCTCAGCCGTTTTGCCTTATCCCCATAGTATTTCTCAAAGCCTATAAAACAGGCATTCAACGGGAAACTGATCCTGAGTAAATGAGCCAAAGCTTGACTCAGGATTTTTCACAAAATTTTATCATTCTAACAAAACAGAAAAGGTATATGCAGACATAGTTGTTTAATCAAAGAAGCATCTATTTAAATATCTTTCTGATCATATCAAATGCAGGGGAGGGGCAGTAGAATATTTAACGGTCTCTGTTAACAGGATTTGAATATAGGATTTTTCATAAAGAAAAAGAAAACAACATGGGACGCCTGGGTGGCTCAGCGGTTTAGCACCTGTCTTCAACCCAGGGTGTGATCCCGGAGTCCCAGGATCGAGTCCCGCATCAGGCTCCCCGCGTGGCGCCTGCTTCTCCCTCTGCCTATGTCTCTACCTCTCTGTCTCTCTCTCTCTGTGTCTCTCATGAATAAATAAATAAAAATATTTTAAAAAAACAACAACAGAACTTCCACTGCTATTTCTGAAGCCAGGGCCCAGGGTGTGGTGCTGCCACTGTGGTCCTGAAGCCTTGCACCTGCTCCAGGCTCCTGGGTTTTACCACCATTTATACAAGTAGAGAAAATAAGACTCCTGTTGGCTTTTTGGAAATACCACACCAACTTGTTGAAGAATTTGAGGCCACTTACGGCCAGAAGAATGGACAATCATCACACTGTAAAATCATTAATGTGAAAACAAAACCAAGAGCCAATGTATTACCTGCTTAGGACATTTAAATCTTGATTTCTTAAATTAACTACTAACTTGATTTCTTAAATTAACTATTTCAAAAAATTTTTGAAATGTTTACTATTTCAAAAAAGAAATCGCTGTTAAATCAAAATTTAGGTTGACAGGTCACATCTTTTAAAAAGTACTTATTTCTTGTGTGGGAAATACCAGAAAGGGAGACAGAACAAAAAGACTCCTAACTCTGGGAAACGAACTAGGGGTGGTGGAAGGGGAGGAGGGCGGGGGGTGGGGGTGAATGGGTGACGGGCACTGAGGGGGGCACTTGGTGGGATGAGCACTGGGTGTTATGCTATATGTTGGCAAATTGAACACCAATTAAAAATATGTAAAAAATAATAAAATAGTAACAATAATAGCATTTGAGGAATTTTTATATTGTTCCATATTTGACACTTGACGGGATGAGCACTGGGTGTTATTCTGTATGTTGGTAAATTGAACAGCAATAAAAATTAATTTATTAAAAAAAGTACTTATTTCTCTATAAAATTACTGTAAATAATTTATGTGGATTTTTTAAAGTAAGAGCATGACAGAAATTTGGAATGCATTAATGACACCAGAAGAGATTCAGGTCACTAGTTATTTGCATTAACAACAGAGCAGTCACTTTATCTGTAGGTTATGTGTCAATAAACTGGAAACCCCCCGGCAAACACACTTAGAGAGGACCCGCGATAAACTCACAATATCACAAGGTGGGATAAAGCTGGCACGCATGGCGCCTTCACTCTGCCATAGGGTATGGGGGAGCCCAGCACCTCTCACCTTGTGCAATCCAGGCAGTCACAGGGCTTTGTGGAGCAAAAGCCTCCTGGTGTATTTTCTCCTGTCAGCCCTTCCCCGACAGAACCCACAGTCCTGCTCTATGTCTTGCCCTCCTGGGAGTTCACCCTCTCTGCGGCCTCTGCTGAGGCCTGCTCTTCCCAGACTCACACTTGCACCTTAAGGCACACAGCAAAGCTAGTAACTGACAAGCCAGCTCTCTTACCTCTCCAACTATAAAACACTTTGAACATAAATGCTCGATTCCAGAAAAAGGAATCCACTGGTGCGACTATGCATGGTGTACACTTGGTTATCACCCACACAAAATGAGCTTCCAAAATGGTGGGCCTGCACCCTCAGAGACACCAGCCCCCGCCTCAGGGTCTGACACAGCTGTGAGGTGTCGGGACAGCCTGACCTCCCAGGCACGCCGGGTGACCACGTATCAGGCCACACCATGTCACTAGCCAACAGAGGTGAATACCAACCCCGGTGCCTATAGGGAGTCCCCTCAAAAGATAACTCCGAGGATTCTACCTCTTTACATCATTGTTACTACTGGAAGTTTTTGTGTCTGTAAATTCCAAATTAATCAGGGAAGCTAAACTGAATACTCCAATTTCAGTCTACAAATGCAATGGCAATATTAGTAATGGCAATAAAAAAGATTCTATCTTATATAGGGTATTGAAAAGAAAGGTGTCTAAGAGAAACCATTTTTATTTATTTTTTTTTAAATTTATTTATTTATGATAGTCACACAGAGAGAGAGAGAGAGGCAGAGACACAGGCAGAGGGAGAAGCAGGCTCCATGCACCGGGAGCCCGATATGGGATTCGATCCCGGGTCTCCAGGATCGCGCCCTGAGCCAAAGGCAGGCGCCAAACCGCTGCGCCACTCAGGGATCCGAGAAACCATTTTTAAACTTACCCTGGGAAAAGTAATACAACCACAAAGTGCCTAACTATTATTAGCAATGACTCCACCTGCTTAGAACTCATCTATTCAAAATACCTTTCCCACTTAGAATAGTTTGAGAATAAATCTATGTAGTGCATTATGCTCCTGAGTCAGAATATGCAGAAATCTAACCTTACTAAGAGAAATGGGATAAAGGAAAAAAACCCAAAAAAACAAAAAAGATCATCTATATCAGAAATACAACGTATCTGTCTATGCAATAATAAACTTGTATTGATATACAAGAAAATGTCATAAATAGGAACATGTTAAGCAGCCTTTCCTTAATTTTGAAAAGAATGGTCTCTGCTGGATTTTGAAATCCTAGCCATCTGAAGACACTCCATTAAGCCACAAAGTATGAGAGTTGTTGCAACGGAACTCCACTGTGGAGATCCCAGAAGGAACTTCCATATTCCTTTACAACTCCCAAGTCCAAGTTGGAGCAACAGAATAAATTCTTAAAATATGAGCTAAAGGAAGAGTTTTAGCAAAAAAAGAATACAGCATAGATATACATAACGGGGTAGTGGTAAACCACATCTTACAGCACACACCCTCCTTCCTGTTCTCTTGGTCTCAACTGCATGGTGTTCCCTGGGGAAGCTTCCTGCCACATTCTACTGCAGAACAGAAGTCTCTTCACTGCGAAGATACTCACTTAAGGGTGAAAGATATCAAGAGAATACAAATTCAGCAGTATTAACCTAATAAGGGCGTTTTGATTACTTCTGGGAAAGGAAAGCGTGAGGATGGAAGCGCAGTGACCATCATGCAGAAACACGAGACTGAACAAGGGACTCCAGTCGTCTCTGCTCTCCTATTCCCATTTAACATCATTTTTGAAAACTGTACTAACTATATTCCCTAAAGGGGAGGATGTGAAATGCAGCAGAGGAGAAGAGTCTGCTTACTCAAGACAGAGACTTAGCAGGAAGTAGCTGCAAGCTAAGAGCACTGTGTACAATGGCAGTTGGAGATGAAACATGATGTGACACTCACTAGCTGCAAAATCAAATCTTTCTGAGCAGCAGAAAAACAGTGGGTAAGTTCTTTTTTGTTAGATTGAAGGGGATATGCTGAAGATACTTACTCTGGAAAATGAGAGGAAATTGAAAGAAAACCACCCCATTATCCCAAACTCACTAAATATTTTTGACAGGGAAAATAAACTATTTCAGTGACTATAAAAATTGCTATTTCAAAAAATGTGTTAAGAGTAAACACAATTTAAAAACAAAATCTGTTATTCTTAATATCCCTATATGAAAGGATCAGGGAAGGGCTTCCCCCTACCACCATCCCTTTAAATGACAAGTTTCAGAAGAAGAACCTTTGAAAAGGAGCAAACCAACAAAGCTAGGAGAGCTGAGAGTGAGAAAAACATGCACCATGAGAAACACACTCGCCACCAGAGGTAACCACATAGAGAAATGGAATGGGACACTTACACAGCAGCTATTTGCCAAAGGGTCCCGACGGCTACTGTGTTCTGAAACCATCAAGACAGAATAGCAGGATGGGAAGAATGTAGTCACAAACAATCCACCAGATGACAACACTACACAGTGCAGAGGTCAGCACAGCTAGGGAACATCTGGAAGGGGGTGAAGGGGAAAGAACAGATGTTCAAATTGGGAAGCCAAAATAAATAAAATAATAAATAAAGCCACATGTGAATTTTAGACACCCTGTGATAGATACAAAGGGGTGGGAAACAAGGATGGATTTTTGCCATTTTATGCTGGGGAGAAAATGCTATCTTCAGTTTTAAATTGATTTGATATTTGGTAACAAAAGATGAGACCCAATCTCTAGCTGATTAACTGCCCCATGTTAATTTAACTGTATGATACAGAAATCAGAGTTGTAGTTGCATGATTGAAATTCTTCAAAAAGCAAAAGATATGCACACACAGAAAACTATACCAAACCAGAGAAAAAGGAGACAAAACCAACCAAATCACAAACAGCAGCCCTGGACTGATAGTTAGCAATGATTCACGGGAGGCACAATAGTAAATGAACACAGCACAGCAGAACTACTGTAATTTTCATGCTGTCATGCACTGGTCACCCAGGAATTGAGGCAAACTGCATATTCTGACAATAAGGACTAAGGAAGCATGCCCAACCCTGGGCAACACAAAATGAGGAAAATTTAGCCTACAGAGGAACACTATATATATTTCCTTAGTTGTTTTCCTCATTCATTTTCCTCTTGTGGCCAAACTTGGCTTTCAGCTCAGTATTTCTTAATCTAGTAGTCCTAGTCATCTAGGATGATGACAAAGGGAACCTCACAGTTTGAAGAGTGGTGACTCCTTCCAGTTACTTCCAACTGGTCACTACATCTGTTGATTAAATAGAAAAGGCTCCACTAAGCATTTGCTTTGTGGGACTACTGGGCTGGATGAAGTCCTAAATCACTGGTCTGGCTTACTGTGTGCTCTTTCTCGGCATCCTTGTCATCTTAATCACTAAATAGGTACCCTCTGCTATCTAGCGACAAGGGATTACATTAAGGATGGACCTGAAATCAAATCTAACCTCACCCTGCAAATGACACCTGGCACCACCTTATTTACTCCTTCCACAAAAACACAAACCTACTAATTACAATATTTAGACAGGATGGAATAAAATGGCCTAGGAACACTGAAGAACTGTCTATCCACCCCAGATTTCATTTGCAATTACTGATTTAACAGTGATCTTAAAGGCAAAACGGTCTATATCCAAGTGTCTACACCACAGATTTTTCATCGGTCCTCTATGAAAGCTCATGGCCTCAGAGTTATTTTCCAATGATGAAAGCATACTCATCCATAGTGTGCTGTTAAGGGAGATTTAAAGCAAATTAGGTCTATATTCTCACCTTATTCCCAGGTAGGGTACACCTGACTCTTCACGCACCATTTCGTTTAACCCTAACAGACCTAGCAGAATGATGAGTATGCACAAAGACAGGCAGCATGGATGACGTTATAAAATCTACCAAATCTATTTTAGTGCAGACAGTAATATACTTGCCTTCGCGTCCTGCAGATCACATCAAGGTCATGGTACTATGTGATTTACTGTCTTCGTGATAGTTGGGATCAGACTGATTCTCTGAGATAAGGACCACTTGACAATATCTAACAACTTTAACTCTCCCCCAAATACTGTTTGTAAAATAGAAAACAGTAATTGGAATGCTGTTTTGTGTATTACAAGCTTGCTCTTAAGAATCACCAGTACTTCTATATTTTTCCCTAACTTTCCTTCTTAGAAGTATTTTTATTCCACTAAATATCCGTAGCAAAGCGACTGAGGTTACCTGCGGAGACAGAGGTGTCCCAATCTGGAGATGGGGGCTGAAGTTAGATTTCTCACCTCAAACTGCTGTTGAAAACTCTCTCTTTTGTTTCTAAGACAACAACACAACTTCGGAGGGAAAGTAAATCCCCAACTGACCTCTTCTTCTAGGGCCAGAAGAATTACATGTAAGAGCAAAAGAGAGAGGATTCCAACAGCAAGGAGGGTCTGAAAAAGCAGAGGAAGGATAAGTGAAACGTACAAGAGGAGGAAGGGAAATCCTCCCAGAGTAATCTAGACTTCCCCAGGGTTTTTATACTTATGAGCTTAAAAGGATCTTAGTATTTTGTTTTTTCCTTTAAAAGTAGAGAGGGAGATGGCTTGGGGACTTTTCTACTGTTTTTAGGATTACAATGATAATTAAAGAAATCCTGAACTAGCGGCCTTTTTTTTTTTTTTTTTTTTTAACTTTTACCATTTTCCTTGGTTTATAACTTACGCCAAATGCCTCAGAGAAAAGGGCCAGTGTCCTTCAGGGGGTAGGGTGGGGTGTAAGTCCAGAACAAGTGATCTTGGAGGCTGGTCTCTTCTTCAGCCTTCATGGACTCCTCTACCCCAGGATACCTCACACACTCACCCATATCTAGCGTCGTCTCTGGGTTCCAACAGTATTTAGAATTTTAGGCTTCATTCAGTGTTTTATATTATCACAAATCTATCAGCTATGAAAGAGACTTTTATTGTCTCATCTGTAGGAAAGAGCAGCAAGTCCTGTGAATCTCTGGAACACATACTCACAGGGCAGCAGGCTCAGTTACTGAAGGAAATTTCTTATAAGTCCTATTTAACAGGAACTTTTGACTAAGCAGAATTCCCATCCTGACTCCCAACCTGACTTTTCATCAGAAGCTTTTGAGAAATGAACTGATGGTGCAGATTCATAAAAACAAAACAAAAAACCAGGACATGATTAAAAGCAACCCACAAACCACCCATTTTCTAGGGCTTGTGAGTCAAATGGGTCCCCACGCCAGCATCGCGGGCAACACCTGCAAGTTGCTAGATATGCAGTCACAGCTCACAGCCCAGGCCCCACAACCGTAATGTGCATTCTGCAAAGCTCCCAGGAGACTCAAATGCATGGTGAAGTTTGAGTACCGCTCTAGGGAACTGCCTATGCCTATCACGTCCCCTCCAGCCTCAGAAGGGTTATCTGGAGGGACTACAATATTTCCAAATAAAAAGAACATTAGAACCTCAGATGAAGACTTACTGAATTAAAATCAACATGGCATTTGGATTAAATAAATGATATAAAATGCACCCTTGTCAAAGCTTTCTCAGTTATGTGCCATACCCCCACACCGCAGAGAAGGCTGTGACTGTCTACAGTCTATTCCAACGCCCTTGTAACTTTGTTCTTCCCTGTGGATCTTTTAAGAACGTTCCAAGGCAGTTACCCCTGAGCATACATGCTTTCTGCGTAATTCTACTTTAGAACTTTAGATAATAAGGAAGTGCCAGTGAAGAACCACTGTTCTTTTAATTAAAAAAGAAGGCCTAAAAAAAATAAATAAATAAAAAATAAAAAAATAAAAAAGACCTAAAAAAAATAAAATAAAAAATAAAAAAGAAGGCCTGAAAAAAAATAAAATTAAAAATAAAATTAAAAATAAAAAGAAGGCTTGTTCTTCTCTGCATGAACATTTATGTCATTAGGTCCTCACCGTATTATAAGATGATTACCGAACAAAATGACCAGTCTCCAACACCAAAAAAAACAAAAACAAAAAAAAAACAAAAAACGGCCAACCTCAAAAAATGTAACTGGAGGGGTGCCTGTGTGGCTCAGTCAGCTAGGCATCTGACACTTGATTTTGGCTCAGGTCATGATCTCAGGGTTGTGAGATTGAGGCCTGCACTGGGCTCTACCTGGGCATGGAGCCTGCTTAAGATTTTCTCTCCTGGGCAGCCCAGGTGGCTCAGCAGTTTAGCACCTGCCTTCGGGCCCAGGGCCTGATCCTGGAGACCTGGGATTGAGTTCCATGTCGGGCTCCCTGTATGGAGCCTGCTTCTCTCTCTGCCTGTGTCTGCCTCTCTCTCTCTCTCTCTCATGAATAAATAAATAAATAAAATTAAAAAAAAAAAAAAACAAAGATTCTCTCTCCCTCTGTCTGCCCCACCCCCCCAAAAATAAAATAACTGGAAATGTGGTACCCCATAATGAAAAGGAAGGTTAGTACAAGGAAGGAATCCTAACAGGTAAATGAAAGCATATACTGAAGAATATCCTAGAAAAAAGTGTAATGGCCAAGTTTTTAAATTCTACGTATTTTTTCTAACAATCCTGGATGTGCCATGAGATCGAATCCCAACTAGCACACAACCAAGTACAGATGGGCATACACACACACTAACTGTAAAATTTCCTAACCCAATATTAAACCTTTTGGAACTTGAAATAGCTCCTCAAACAAAAAATTCATACAAAATTATTTAATCTAGTTCATTATTGCCCTAAAATTATAGGGCATTAAGCCACAGTGTCATCACTAATTAAAGTCTACCTTATCCACACAAACTGTCTATAACATGGTAGTGAATTTAAGGAAATTCAGTTTCAGTAACTGGACAAGTCTGTTATTCTGCGATTTACATCTGCTGCCACTCTCCTGAGAACATCTCATCCAGAAGAAAGAGCATTCCCAGTACTGCTGTCCCATGTACACAGGCTAGACAATGGACATAAAGTACAGACAAGAACTTCTTGGGTGACACCCTAAATTTTAAATAATGCATATAACCATTTCAAAGTGGCATAATGGACATGCAACTATGGAGAAAAACACAGAGGAAAAAATGCTCAGGAAGGACCTTATATACATATTAAATCATATCAACCACACAAAGGAAACCAGACTCACGTGAGGGGAATAGCATTTGTTTTTGACTGTCTTCTGCTTTTCAGGGCCCGAAGTCTATCCCCTTGTGTCACTCCATGGATTTCATCATCATCACTGTACTGTATAAGTAAAGAAACACTGAGCTAGTGACTTAAGTTGCACTTACAAAGGCAGTAAAGCATAGCAGTTACGTTTATCCATATAGACACATACAAAAAAACAGATCAACTCTAAAATATTCTGCTTTCAAAATAAAGCTATGGCTCATATTTCAAGATAACCAAAAGTTGACTTTCACAGACAAAGATCTCAACAGTACCCTTGTTATAAAACATATTGTGAAGAGGCATAATGGGTTTTCAAGAATAACATTCTTTTTGAAATTTCACAATCCACTTAATATAGTACCACCACTTAATATAGTATCACTGGCCCTCAAACTCTTGATTCTTTAAAGCTTTCCACTTGAGAAAAATTAGTTCCGTAAATCAATTGTCACGAAATGGGAAAAAGGCAGGGACAGGGGGCAGGGGGAACATAAGGGGAAGCGTCACTAGGTCCCTCTAAAGAGCTTACTTCATGTAGCTCTTTTTTACAGTGTCTAGTGAGTAAACAAACAATTTTAGTTTTATGGACATGTGATTTTATTTTAACTATTTTGAGTAAAAAGTTCCTAGAGGGGGCTGTAAGTATAAAAAAATTGTGTGACGATAATCCCTCAAAATGTGCTTTATTATTTTTATCTACAATTTTCCCCATGCCCTGTAAGGTCCTCAACAGCACTGAAAACAATGACAACAGCGTGATGGGGATGGTTCGATTACCAGTTCAGGTTCTTGCTTGTCTTGATTCTCGACCCCATTGATTGAAATGTCATCAACAGCCAAGAGGAGTTTTGAGACAGCTGCTCTGTGTTTTCCATTCTCCTGACCCCTTAACTTTTGACGAAAATAGTCACCTTCCAACCAGAGGCTTGCCTGTTTCCTAGAGCATTTAAATAACATCATCAAAATACAGCTTTCCAGAAAGACACATGCAAACGATGCTCTCCTACAGATGATCTATTGTTTTTGTTTTTTTTTTTTTTAAGATTTTATTTATTTATTCATGAGACACACACACAGAGAGAGGCAGACACGCAGGCAGAGGGAGAAGCAGGCTCCATGCAGGGAGCCCGATGTGGACTCAATCCCAGGACTTCAGAATCATGCCCTGGGCCCAAAAGCAGGCACTAAACCGCTGAGCCACCCAGGGATCCCCCAGATGATCTATTGTTACTGGAGACTAAGAAAAATCCTACTTCCCATCATTTTCCAGACCCATGGTTCCCTGAGGAATTACAAAAGTTCTCCGTTACTCACATCACCAAAAATTGCTGCTGCGGTCCAATTACTGAGCCAGGTCTGCAGATTCTGACCCAAGCAATGGTCTCGGCTGCTGTCATCCTGTAATGCTTCATGAGGTAACAGGCTATCAGAGTGCCTGTTCGTCCAAGGCCAGCTAGAAAAGAAACAAATCAAAGGGTCCTTCAGAATTTTGTTGGGCAGGCAGAATTTTTTAGGCTTCCCATGAATCTGCTTCCCTCAACAGTGCCTCTCAAGTTTGGATATGCACAGCAATCACCTGAAGAGTGTCAGAAATACTGGGTCTCATCTCCAGAATTCCAAGTTAACTGGTATGTGATGCAGCCTGGACACGGAGATTGCTAACATCCCCCAGATGGTTCTATGAAGTCAACAGTGAAAATCACTTTCTAAAGTGATGATCCTAAGTTGTTTAAGTGCATTGTTTTCCACTATGGGTTTTCTGTTAATGGTACTATCGTCTCTCCAAACACATGGGCTTAAACTCTCACATTTTTTTCCCTCATCCAACAGTTTTTTCTACTATACTTTTATTCCCATTTTCACATGGATTTCTTTTATAAATTGTATTTCTGCTGTCCCCCTTTACTCTCATCTAGACTACCATCATTACCTCTTAGAGTGATTAATTTTGTATGTCAGCCTAGTAGGTGTATTTGGAGGAACTGACATTTAGATTGGTGGACTGTCAATAGCAGATTACCTGCCCCTCCATAAATTGGGTGGGCCTCGTCCAATCAGTTGATGATCTGGACAGAAGAAAAAGACTGGCATCCCCGAGGTTGAGAGAATTTTCCAACAGCCTGCCTTCAGACTGAAGCTGCACTATTGGCTCTCCTGGGTCTCCAGTCTGCCTACTCACGTGACAGATTTTGTACTTATCTGCCTCTGTATTTACACGAGCCAATTCTTTATATCTTCCTCTCTACATACGTTCCATTGGTTCTATTCCACTGGAAACCCCTCACTTATACAGATTTTGGTACTGTGATATGGTGTGCTACTGTAACATATGTAAAAACGGGAAGGAGCTCTGGAGTCAGAATTGTAAAAGCCTGGGAGTTTTAAGGCACAATGTTAGAAAAAAAAACTTAGACCACCCTTAAGGGTCTGTTGGTAGGAATATGGGTGTTGGTAATTCTGGTTCTGACTCAGATGGGAATGAGGAACAGGTTACTGGGAACCAGAAGAAAGGCAATCCTTGTTAGAAAGTGGGAGAAAAACAGCCTGGCTAAATTGTTTTAGTGATTTTTGGAAGGTAGAACTTATTTAGCAAAGGAGATTTATAAGCAAAGTATGGAAAGTACAGCCTCATTTCTCCTCATTAAAGTAAAACATTAGAGAAGACAGATGAACTGAAGAAGGGACTGTTAAAGCAAAACAAACATTTAGAAAATTCTAGGCCTATCTATACTGCAAACAGAGAGAATGTTTTTTTCTGGAGAGAACCCCAAGGGTGTGGTCAATGATCCACTGGCATAAAGAGATTACCTAGGGATCTAATCAGCCATCTCAGCAGAAGCCAAAAACAGGGATGGGATTGATTATACCAAGCAGACACAGTGCCAGTCTGAACTAAAAGGGACATACACAAGATGAAATGAAGGAAGGCTTCCAGATTTCTGGGGTTTTAATAGGACTAACAGAATTATCTAAATGAAAACACTCCTTGTCCTTCAAGAAGAGAGAAGTATAACCCCAAAGGACCAACAAGGCTGCCACTGCCCTGATAAGCCCAGGGGCAAGGCTACCTACTCCTGGGTTTTAGGGGGTAGGGCCAGCTCTGTGGTCAGGGGGCCAGGCTGTCCCTATCCACCACTTCAGGGGCAGGGCTGCTGCCCAAGTGGGTTTGTGGAACAGGGAATGGACCAGAGCATTACTTCTGGGCCAGAGGACCTCACAGCATTTGCCTTGCTAGGTTTTAGACTTACTAGGACCCCGTAAACCCTTTTTTCTTTTTTTTTTCTTTTCTTTTCTTTTCTTTTCTTTTCTTTTCTTTTCTTTCTCCTTTCTTTCTTTCTTTCTTTCTTTCTTTCTTTCTTTCTTTTCTTTTCTTTTCTTTTCTTTCTTTCATTTATTCATGAGAAACACAGAGAGAGAGGCAGAGACATAGGCAGAGGGAGAAGCAGGTTCCATGCAGGGAGCCAGATCCCGGGACTCCAGGATCATGCCCTGGGCCAAAGGCAGGTGCCAAACTGCTGAGCCAGCCAGGTATCCCTTGAACCCTTTCTTCCTCCTGATTTCATTTGGAATGGGAATGCCTACCCTAGGCATGTCCCACTACTGTATTTTAGACACACTTAACGTGTGTCAGGGTCCACAGGTTCACAGCTGGGGAAGAGTTCTGCATCAGGATGGACTGTACCTGGTGTCACCCATTATCTGTCTTAGAGGATATTTAGAAGAGACTTTGGACCTGAACTGATTTTGGAATGGATTACGTCTTTGGAGACTGTTGGGATAAGCTGCCCTGAGAGGACAAAAATACTGATCAACCGGAGAACATGATGTTATGGACTGAATTGTATCCCCCACTCCCTGCCTCCCCAAAAATCCACGTTCAACTTGTATTCCCAATCTGTCTATCTCTGGGAAAAAGCCCTATATGGAGGTAAATAAGGTTAAGTAAGGTCATGTGGGGAAGGCCCCACAAACCTCATAGGACTGGTGTCCTTAGAAGAAGAGGAAGGGACACCAGGAGTTGAGTGTTCACAGAGGACAAAAAGAAAACAGCTATCAGGCTCCCCACAGAGAGCCTGCTTCTCCCTCTGCCTATATCTGCCTCTCTCTGTGTCTCTCATGAATAAATAAATAAAACCTTAAAGAAAAAAGAAAAGAAAAGAGCTGTCTGTGAGCCAGGAAGACACCTCATCAGAAATCAACCTTAGGTTTCTAGCTTCTGAAACTGTGAAAAAATACTTTCTGTGTAATCCACACAGTTTGTGGTACTCTACTGTGGTCCCCCAAGCAACTTAATACACTCCCTAATGGATCTCACTTCCCTATTAATAATCCAAACTTTCCATGGTCATCAATTTTCTTGCCAAAACAAAGATCCAATCCTATCAAATCCTCTTCAGGTTTTTTTTTTTTTTAATTTTTTTTTATTTATTTATGATAGTCACAGAGAGAGAGAGAGAGAGGCAGAGACATAGGCAGAGGGAGAAGCAGGCTCCATGCACCGGGAGCCCGACGTGGGATTCGAACCCGGGTCTCCAGGATCGCGCCCTGGGCCAAAGGCAGGCGCCAAACCTCTGCACCACCCATGGATCCCCCTCTTCAGGTTTTTAAATGGTCACCAGCTGACTTCAGGGTCTCTCAACCTCAGCACTAATGACATGTGGGGCCGGTGTGGATGCTGTCCAGCACACTGAGGGCTATTTACGAGCATCACTGGTCTAAAGAGTTGTAGCATCCTCCCACCACTTTGTGAAAACAGCCGTTTTAAATTCTTTGTCCAGTAACTCAGAGATCTGGGTTTCTTTAGGGCCGGTGTCTGGAGATGGTTTTAATCATTTCATTTTTAAGTGTACATTTCAGTGGCATTAACCAACACGCTGCTGTGCAACCATTACTACTATGTCCTCTGTGTACCTGAGACAAATGTGTATTCCTTTTTTGGGGAGCAGTGTTCTCAGTGTGTCTGTTATTTCTGTTGGTTTACTGTGTTGTTCAATTTCCTTACTGATCCTCTATCTGGTTGTTTTTTTCCATTATTAAAAGTGGGAGAAGTTGAATAAACCTTAGTATATCATACAGTGTATTATTACACAGGCATTCATTCAATAAATACTTATTAAGTGCCAAGGCACTGCTTTAGTTGCTGAAAACATAGCAATTTAATAGATATAAGCTCCACAAAGACAAGCCCTTGGAGTCTGCTCTGTTCACTGACATATTCTAGAACATATCAAACAGAAGACACTGAATAGGTATTTGAGGAATAAATGAATGTATTTCTTTTTTTAAGATTTTATTTTTTGAGAAAGAGAGATAGCGGATATATGCATGTGTGAGAGTAGGGGGAAGGGCAAAGGGAGAAGGAGAGAGAATCTCAAGCAGACTCCCTGCTGAGTGTGAGCGGAATTCGATCTCACGACCCTGAGATCAGGACCTGTGCCAAAACCAAGAGTCAGGTTCTTAACCAACTGAGCCACCCTAGTGCCCCTAAATGAATGCATTTCAGTGTGCTAAGGTTTTGTAGGCTTACTTATGAATATAATTTAATTTAATACTGTTCGTATGAAATTAGGGCTTTAAAAGCCTTCTGTATATGCACAGCTTTATAATGTCAATCATCACTCAATAAAGTGGTTTTAAGAAAAAAGCAACTTACAAACAACAATAACAAAGTCAGTTCATGTGTCCTTGCATATAATCTAAATGGGCATGGTGTGCTTCTAAAGCATACATACATGCATGTCCACCGTTCTTTACCCAACCCTGGAAACATACCTTTACAATGTACTGCAATGGCACCCTCTGCATTTTCACAAATATCCAGAAATTCTTTGACAATGGCATCAGTAGGGGTGCTGCCATCCGCAAAGAAAAGATCATAGTGATCGAAACCAGCATTCGTAAAGCGTTTGGCATCATACATCCTTTTATTCAGACGAATGATGGTAGAAACGTTGTGATTCTTAAAATATGGAATATAAGCCTCAGGAGAGTGTTGGTGGTAACCTACATAAAGAAATTCACCAGATGTCAAATGCAGAAAGAAAATGGATAACAATTTTACCTATAATTGGGTGGAAAGAGTATCTTGACTAGGGACTGAATACCAATTTGATTATAACTGTAAAAGCACTAATTTAAGAAGTTAAAAGCCAGGCAAAATGATGTACTATCATGCCTAGTATATTTAAATAATTTAGACAAATGTGATTTAACTGTTTGGCCTCTTTCAAAGGAAAACACAGGATAGATACTTCTTTTAATAACAAAACAATACTCTAGGTTCCCTATTTTCGCATACCGCTTTCAAGTCTGGTTCTTGAATGAGGTCCACAGAAGGCAATAAATCGGTCTGGTATTATCCAGTTTAAATCTCCATTTTCCGCTTTCTGCAAAGGGAAGACCAGTACAATTCATTTTTAGACTTGATTTCCCGTCTACATCCTTTTTTAATACCGAGTGTCTAAAGGACTTCAAATCCATTTGTTTCAGCACAAAAACTATTTACAAGTGACCAGGAGACAGGAAACTAAAATTTAGCCTGCTACGAGTATTCCCAGGGAATAGTCAGTTAACTTTTGCTGGTCCTAATCACTTTTCTTAAAACAGTGTTTCTTTCCTAGGATAGTCAGCCTTTGGAAAATAGAATTGATTGCCATCCAATTTATACCAAAATATTTTGTTTTTTGTTTTTTTTATCCAGGTAAATTCTCATGTAGTTGCTGCTACTCAGTAAAAAAAAGCATTTTTTTTTCTTTTTACTATGAGGGACTAGAAACTTCCCTATTTTCCTAAATGACAAATTGGCTTCTAATATGAGCAATCTTGACTCCTTTAACAAAGGGAAAAAACCAAAATTTTTGACTTCTTGATATTTACACCTGTATGATGGATACACTTCCATCATTTTGTTAGCTATTTAGTAAGGAGGTCAATGAGAATCTGCACTAAACCCAGCAGAAAATTTGAAATTACAAGTACACTAAGATCACAGTGTATCTCTAGAAAGAAAACATGGATATGAACTGAAATTTAAAACACTTTACTTTTAGTTATTAAGTCCTTTCAACTAAGCTACCATAACAATTGTCATAATATAGCTCAACTTTAACAATAGAAATGGATACAAAAAGACTTAAGCAGGAATTAAGACACTTAATAGTGGAGGAAGAGAGAACTAGCGATAAAAACAAGATCAATTAGCTTTGCAATTGCAGTATACATATGTGCACCTAAGAACAAGTAAGAAGTAAACTGGGAGTTGCTTGAATATTTCTACAAGACAGGCAACCCACATCCAGTTTACTTAATTATCAGTGAGGGGAATTAGTGAGCCCATGTTCCATACTAAAAGGCCTAAGCAGGAATGAGAATGTGTCCAGACGCTACAATTTTGAAATGAAACCAGAAATGTGGAGTTTTGTTTTCTCAGAAATCTGTAATTCTTAATGAGAAACCTATGATTAGATTTCATTGAATTGCAGAAATTACAGATTATACGATGCATTCTGACTTCAGAGAAGTTAAAATGGGAAAAAAATGGTCATCATGGAATCAATGAAAGACACTAATCCAAAATTTCTAAATACACTGTACAAAGCAAAACTACCCATGGACTGTAGCTACCTCAACAATTCCTCTTATTTCAATGCAGTTTCATTGAAAGTAAATAGCATTTGTGCGCAACCCTGCTACTCCCCCAACACTACAATGTCTGCATTAGTGAGAGGGGAACTAATTAGCACCTATATTACTTCTTAGTAAAACACAAAGACATCACTCTGCTCCACTGAAGAACCCCAAATGGCATTCATAGTAGTTTTACATGCCTAAAAAGAGAAAGTATACTTTATTTTAAATGTTTAATTTTATAAGGACAAGCATGAAAATAATGGTAAGCCACATTTACTAGTTTAAGATGCAAATTAAATATATATTGTACTTCAGAAAGGTACCACTGTTACAGAGAAGGAAAGACAAGATTGGCCTGAACGAATCAATAACGAAATATATTTTAGATCTTTGTACAACGCAGTATGACTAATTGTAACTATTAAAACAGTTCAGTTACATTGAACAGATTAAAATAATAGTTACTCTAGAATATGATTGTGAAAGGACAGTTATCCAAAGATTCTATATACTGTTGCATAAAGTACTGCCTGTGGAATCACTCCATTATGAGTGAGAATGTCCACTTAAGATAACCACATAGGATAAAAAGACCAGATTCCACAAGTATTCTTGGTGAAAGAAACCTTTAGCACAGCATCTTACTACCTATTTAAAAGGTTAGAATGGTAGAATTAAATTACTTATTCTTAAAAAAATAATAATAATAACACTACATTAAAAAATGTAGAGGACACGTATTGCTTTGCCTTTCTGGACTTCCTTCTGTCCTTCTGTCTGTGCTGTTTGATGGAGCCAATCCCAGCACTCTACTACAACTACTGAGATGGCCCATCCAACAACCACCCTCACCAAGAACACAGTCTGGTTCAGGCCCAGGGACATGATCTAAGGCTAATGAAGAACTTGTGGGTCTTTTCTGATGATTTGCCCAGTGAGTAAATCAAAGCTGCTGGTCTCCATCTTCATCACTACTGGGGAGGGCTGGCCTAAGAACAAAACTAGCTCTAGCCCAATTTCTGGTAAGTACTGGAGTACATTAATCTCATCATGCATGAAGTCACACCAGTTCCTGGACTCTTTATTTATATAAGTCAATTAATTTTCCTTTTTTATTTAAGCCACTTGTATTTACTTTTTGTAACTTGCAATCAATAGGGTCTTGACTTCATACAAACAGTTATGATAAAAACATATTTTCTAGAGGTAATAAGATATACAATGACTTTTATTCATCTCATCAGATCCTATGCTAAGGGTTTTATGATCATTTAATCACTATATGAAAATCATCAATACTAAAAAAAAGATTAAATACTAATTTAAAATGCCCATAAGCACATTCATGCACTCTGGAAAGATGTATTAAATGCAGAAATCACCACTAAGAAACTGGACTGTAGAACTGGGGATGAGAAGATAAATACTTGAATTTCTATTTTTACTCTATACACATCTAAATTGTTCACTTCTTTAAAAACCAAGAATATTACCTCTGTAAGTAAAACATGAATAAGGGAGTTAGTTAAAGCAATATCCTTGAAAACTTACTTCATAGTGTTCATATTCATCAAGGTTAAATGAGTTGAAATTAAGGAGGTCATACTGCATTGCCTAAAATCCAAAGGAAAGCTTTTAAGAATAAAGATGTAAGTAAGAAAACAATTTGTAATCCAATTTCCTAATTAAAAATATCAAGAGGTACCCCAAAAGAACATTATTATATTTAGATTTTGTTCCACTCAATAGTTTTCAAAGAAGGTAGACTACATGTTTTCAATGCTTCCATTATATGGAAAATCAGTTATAACAGTATTTATTTTAATGAGATTTGCTTTTTTTTTAAATTTTCCTTCATCAATCAACCTATCCACGCAGAGCTGAAAAACCACATCTTCAAAGTAATCCTACCAACTTATTAGATCAACCCTAAATAAGAAAGAAAAAAGAAAAAAACCTAGGTTAACTTATCCTAAGTAAATCCCACCACGTCATAAATATCTTCACTTTCACATTCTTCTGAATTTGAATTAAAAGATTAATGTCCCTGAAATGAAAAATTCAAAATTTTGAGAAAATTCTTCAATAAAAAAAGTTCTGCTCTGTGGCCTCACTCTGAGTTGCAGTGGGCAGATCATAGTAAGCAAAATAAGCAGTTTTCTCATTTCTGAGACAAAGACAAGCTGGTGGCCTCTGAGAAGTGTTGTCTCTGTTCACTAATCCATGAGCCAAGCAGTATGTAAGCAGGAATTTTTTTTAATTAAAGTACAGTTGACACACAATGTTTTACTAGTTTCAGGTGTCTAACATAATGATTTGACAATTTTATACATTACTCAGCGCTCACCACAATAAGTGCAGTCACCAGACAATGTTATGATACTATTACTGACTACATTCTCTACGCTATACTTTTCATCTCTGTAAGCAAGAATTCTTTTTTTTTTTTTTAAGATTTTATTTATTCATGAGAGACACAGGGAAGCAGAGACACAGGCAGAGGGAGAAGCAGGCTCCCTGCAGGGAGCCAGAGGCAGGACTCGATCCCAGGACCCTGGGATTACACCCTGAGCCAAAGGCAGACGTTCAACCACTGAGCCACCCAGGCATCCCATAAGCAAGTTTCTTGATCAGCAAGATATTCTTGGTTTAAAAGGGGTGACTCTGTAAACTCAACTTTCAAAATGTAAACTACTGAAATACAAATGAAAAACAAGGCTATAATATCAAACAAAGAGCCCCTGTTTTAAAAAATATAGCCATTTAATTCTAATTCCAACACCATATATTTCTTTGAATTCAAGATACTCAATATATATACTATTTGAACTAGACATTTCTAACAGAAACATATAGTAAAATGTAGATTATAGGCAATTTCTATTCATAAGGAGAGCCTATTAGAAGCTGCATTAAAATTAAGTCACAATTATATTTATAAATGTTTTATACATGCAGTAATATTCCAAATCAGATACCAATAAAAAAGTTTAAATTGAAATCAGAAAAAAAAAATAAATAAAGAGTGAGAAAAGCAATCTTAGCCTATAGTTCCTGCTAATTAATGAGACTTTGGATGTAATAGCTGATTAAAAAAAAAAAAAACTAAGCTGAGAAATAACAAAAACTGCTATAAAAATGTTGCAGTAGACCATTTCCAGGGCTCTCTAAGTTTCTCCTTTTTTTAAAAAAAAATATTTTCTTTATTTATTTATGATAGTCACAGAGAGAGAGAGAGAGAGAGAGCAGAGACACAGGCAGAGGGAGAAGCAGGCTCCATGCACCGGGAGCCCGACATGGGATTCGATCCCGGGTCTCCAGGATTGCGCCCTGGGCCAAAGGCAGGCGCTAAACCGCTGCGCCACCCAGGGATCCCTAAGTTTCTCCTTTTAAAGGAGAGAAGGGAGCTCTAGGATCAAGACAAGTTTGCCTGCCTACATCAGAAGTTCTCAGGGGTCCATCTGGCAGGAACTGTAACTGCAGTTGGAAGGGGTCATTTATACCTGCTGTCTCTCCATCTCTTGATCACTCCCTCTGCCTATGACCTACCTAATCGGAGACCTGATGGAGCTGCCTCAAAGCCTACAGCAACAAACTCAACCAGTTCCATCATAGTCCACAGACTCAAACCCAAAAAAACCATTAAGTTCCATACTTTGTTGCCTAATACCGGGAAAAAAGTATACTAATTAATCTCTGAATTTGTATACTAATTAGTCCTCACAATTCTCAGAAAGCCACCATGTTTCATTACATAAGAAAGTAAACCCGGTTCCTTTTGCCTCTGAAAATACAAGTCATACAAAAGTTGAGATGTTGTTGAAGACTTATTTGACGCGTGGACAGCTGATTTATAGTCTTTGTTTCTTGTGCTGCCCTGACATTCAAGACACATACCTGAGGGAGGGAATGTTATAACCAGAGTCTGCTGCGTCACATAACTCCAGGGAACCCCATTCATTTAGAATGTGATATGAAAAATATCCCTGGGAGTCAAAGACAGCAGGCAGCCCTGGTTATAAAACACAAGAGTTATTTTTAAATAGCTCTGACAAAGCAGTGGTGACCTACTTAGTCTTATATAAAACCTAGTAACAAACTAATGGGCTATACAAATTCTTCTGTTGAACTAAAAACTGAATACTTTAAGATACAAAAATGAAGTGTTTGTATCAGTTACTATGTTCTAGAAATGTCCGTTGTAAATAGGATTGGTGGATATTAGACCCATAAAATACATAAATCGAAGAGAATTTGGAAACCAGTAATCTATTTACTTTTTATTTTTCTTTGAAATCACAACATACTCAAAGCAAGTCTGGATTTAGCACCTAAGTATGTAACTATTCTCTTATCATCCTCTGTTGTTCAAGTAGCTTTTCTATCAACTCATTCAGAGAAACACACCTTCAGAAAAACTCTTCTGGTTTGACATCATTCTAACATTAGTGGAGAAAATGGGGTATCTCTGACATTATACACATCTTGGAAAATCTTTGTGGAAGAAGGACCAGGTTTCCTTGGACTGTAACCTTCCAATTTAACACTGGGCTCATCCTATGAATCACTTACCTTCTTTACTGCATGAAAACAGTCGAGAAGTGTAATGTAGAAATTGCAACTTCCATAGGCAGCATCTCTGAAATCCCAAAAGTATTGAAATACATAGCTTAGTTAATTTAATTTTCTGTAGTACACTTGCCTCAAGACAAAGTTGCCTAGAATTTAAAATCAAACCACAAACTCAGGACAAGGATTAAAAAAAAAAAATCTTGCCTTTTGGGTTTTAATCAGGGATAAGTCACTGTTATAAATTTCACTGCAGTTTCTATCTATTTTGGTAGATACTTGTTTCATAGGTGTGAATCAATGACCACTATCTGAATTTCAAATGATCTCCCAAGATCATTTCTGGCCGTGATGGCTAGACTTCAAAAGTATCTTCTTGAGCTCTAATCTAATATGTACCCCTCCCCACAAAAAGGCAAAGCATTGCATTTTTTCTTCAAACTGGAAGATACCACATTAAATTGTTACCAGGAAAGATTTACTTTTGACTCCATATATACGTACATATATGTGTGCAATATAAGTATGTGTCCATCCACATAGAAAAAAGATAATGGGAAATCACAGTAATATGTAATACTACCTGTGAGCTAAAAAGCAGTCTGCTCTTCTCATTATGCTTTCACAATCTTTAACAAATGAACTGAATAACTTCTTTCTGATTTTTAGAAGATTAGAGTACCTAGAAAACCACAGTGCTCTTGGGGAGGTGTTTAAATTAGTTTACAGACAACTCCACCCAATACCACAGCAACATCTATCACTAATCTTACCACAGATCTCTTAATGTCAGTTAAGAGTTTGTCCAGAAAAATAAGGCCACCCTCTACTCCCACTGGCTTCTCCTTTCCAGCTACCCTGAGCCATTACGAAATGAAAACATTCAGAATTAGGCAACATTAAGTTTGATCATTCTAGAAATGCTGAACAGCTAGGATTCTCAAATGGTCCTTATCTGGACTTTCAGTGGAACCAGACTGCTGCTGAAGCCATCATTACCTGCCTGCCTTGGTTGGGTTTTCACACTGTAATGTCACTTAGCTGAAAACTCAAACTGCACATTGAAAAATTTCAACTTACACAAACCTTACAGCAACATGAACAAGGTGGAAAAGGACATCTTTTTCACTGAGAATAGTTTGACATTACTGTCTGAACTGGCTAGGATTCCTGAGGTAAATTCTATGTTAGCTGTCAGAGGATTGCACAGTCTTACAACAGGCCATTTTTGTCCTGTAGGCCTCTTAATTTAAAAAGCTGCTCTTCTAAAACCTAGAAAAGTTCTCTACAAAGCCTAGGAAACGATTTTACCAACAGTTTATTGGCAATCTTCAGGAAGTAGAAAAATAATACGGCCCATAGCAGTTCGCAGTGTGGTCCCTGATCAAGCAGCATCACTCAACTCTGTTGGAAATGTCAATTCCCAGGCTCCACCCCAAACCTACTGAGTCAGAAGTTCTCTGGGTGGGCCAGGGAATTTTTGCTCTTACAGGTCCTCTGGGTGATTGTGATGTATGTTCAAGTTTAAGAACCAGTGACCTAAAGAATCAACACAAAACATATGTTTTGTAGGAATAATTTTTTTCATGGAATAAAGAACATTTTAGATAGAGAACCTAGGATAGGGAAATGAAGTAATTTAATCTAAACTCAAATAAAAATTATCAGTGGAAGGGCGGGCGCCTGGTTGGCTCAGTTGGTTAAGTGGCTGACTCTTCATTTCAGCTCAGGTCATTATCTCAGGGTCCTAGGGAGACAGCTTAAGGATTTTCTCTCTCCCTTTACCTCTCCCCCTGCTTACATGCTCGCTCTCTCTCTCTCTCTCAAATAAATCCTTTTTAAAAATTGTGACTGGATATATGGTGTTGCATCCTCATGTTTTTAACCCTATCTCCTCAGTTACTTTTATTATCTTCTTTATCTACTGAGAATTCTTCCCAAGTCAAAGGCATGTTGATTCAGTCTTTGTGATAACTTGATGCATTTATTCAATGTATATTTTTGAGAACCTACTACAAGCCAAGCCCTGCTTTAGTCAATGAGTATTCCACAAACTTTAATCTGGGCTTAGCTGAAGTTCTGCCTCACATATCACACTACCTGATTAGACAACAAAAATCTTTCTTTACTCATTCATGTTTATTTCTTAATACCTCCAACTTTAAATACACCCACACATTCTTCCTTCTACCCAAGCAATCAGGCTTCTTCCAAACAGTAGAAAAGTAGCTATGAATCTGTATATAAGGCTGGGGCAGGGGATGTGTCACTAAGATCGTTCGACAAACTTAGAGAAGCAATGAGGGGGCACCTGGCTGTCTCAGTTGGTGGAGTGTGTGACTCTCGGTCTCAGGATTCAAGCCCCAAGTTGAGTGTGGAGATTACTTAAAAATAAAATCTTTTAGATAAATAAGGCAGATGAGAATCAATGAAAGTGTACTGCTGAGAAACTGCAAAACAATGTCAAATACTAGTTTTAAAATAACAGCTTTTGCAGCAGCTTGGTAGCCAAAAACTGCAAATAACCCAAGAATTCATCAAAAGGACAAAGAACAAATAAACTGTGATGTGTACACTGAGTGGAATGCTACAAAAGCAGTAAAAAGATAAAGCATGATACCTACTGATACCTGCCACAACATGGATAAATCTCACAGGCATTATGTATTTAAAAAGCTCGGTCCCAACTCTCTAAAATGCCTACTATATGACTTCATTCATATCAAGTTCAAAGGCAAGAAAAACATGTGGTGGAAGTCACAGAGATATTAGGTGGGGGGTGAAGGGAATCTTTAGGAGTGCTGGCAGTGTTCTGTGCCTTGAACTGGATGGTAGTTACATATACGCAAGAGACTAGTGGGGGGTTTTAACTGTAGTAAGATATACATCATGGTGTTTAATCCTCATACCCCATTAGAGCGATCCTCCTGTCATTCCCATTTATGAACTAGGAGACCAAGGCTCACATTTATAAAGAACCAAAGTGGCAGAAGTTAAGAGTCAAACTCTCCTTGGTCTGATGTCAATAGTAAACTATACAACACTATCTCCCAAGAAAACAGAAAGCAGAGCCCCCCCTTCCCCAACCAATTAAGAAGCAAAGGTGTATTAAGGGTAATACCAAAGAATGGCAGTATATGCTATTGCTGACAATAATCCTAAAATATCAAGAAAACACTGAACTACATTTTATACTATATTTTCATTTAAATAGCAGAAAAATTGTGATATGATCCATTAAGAAATCATATATATGTATATATAAACATATGTAAATTCAGTGGTTAAAGAATTATATCTAAGTTGAATTAAATCTAATTAAATATTGCTATGAAGCATAAAAAGTTTAACTGCAAATGAATGCTATTCTTGTTAACAGCTATATTTATACTGTGCACTTAAAGGGCATATATTTTTTTAAAAAGTGCATATATTTATTCTACATACTTAAAGTGGCAAGGATGAAAGACTATAATGCAATTTCTTTCAAAATATTCAAGCTTAAAAAATATATCAAGCTTTATTAATTCTGATTGACCTACTCTCTAATTAGTAAGTTAAACAGAACACTAAAATGTGAAGTACAAGTTTTTTGATTCTGCTCTGCTGATACTTTCGTAAAATTCAGTAAGTGTGAAATACAATAGTATTGTATTATCACATACCCAAAATAACATTATAATATCTACATATAAAACATACTTTCTAAAAAAAAACAAAACTTTCTATCTAAAAAATACATATGTATTTTATGTTTTACTTATAAATAAAAATGAATTACTAGAAGAGAAAAAGAAAAAAACACATTAAATACAAGCCCAAATCTTAATATTTGATGCCACAGACATTAAAATACTCTATTGAATTATTATAAAAGTCTCTAAAATCCTACTCGCCATTCTTTTTTTTTTTAAGATTTTATTTATTTATTCATTAGAGACACAGAGTGGGAGGGGGGAGAGAGAGAGAGAGAGAGAGAGAGAGAGAGAGAGAGAGAGAGAGAGGCAGAGACACAGGCAGAGGGAGAAGCAGGGTCCACACAGGGAGCCTGATGGGACTCGATCCCGGAATTCCAGGATCACACCCTGGGCCAAAGGCAGGCACTAAACCGCTGAGCCACCCAGGGATCCCCTCTACTTGCAATACTTATTCTCATCACAGCTGGTAACAAAAAGTTCGCAGATTGACACTAATTTACAGACCATATCTGGAGAAACAATACTTTAGATATATCAAATATTTGGCATCTAGGACTACAAAGATTCAAATTTTACAAACTTGAGCTGCTTCTAGCCAAGTCCTATTTTTTAGAGAATTACTCACTTTGCTCCTGGGACCAGGAGTGCCAAACTTCATTTCTCAGTGCCAAACTTCAGCAATTTTAACACAGGTAATGGCAAAAAAAGCAAAATTTATTCTATTTTTGGCCTTTGCATTTAAATTAATGCAAATTCTCTTTTACATCACAGTGTTCCATGGACCTTTACCTGGGTGATATGAAATGTGTGTGCTTATTCTATTTCAGGACCTTAAGTTATAAACTTTAAGAATGGCACTATTATAAAGGAATACTGATATAAAGAAGCTAACAACAAAATTATCACTGTATACCAATGTTCTTGTGACTCACAGACCACAGATACAAGCATTTCTTCTCAAGGAATTTATGGCTGCTGTTATATTTGAAGTTGAGAAATAGAGCACTCTCCAGTTTAGAAAATAACCTTCATCTCCTCCTACCCACCTCAAATAACAGAAGACTTAACACAATCCTTACATTAGAAAGAAAGGTGATGGTACTGGGTTCAAAGCAATTCTCCTAATTTGCTAAATCACTTAGTACAGTCTAAGGTAATATAGAAATGAAACAACTATCTATTTCATGGAGTAAGTCCATGGACAGTCCTACAGTTACTGAAGAAGATTCTGCTAAGGTCAATGGAAGACCCAACCTGTCCACAATGAAGTCAAATTCACAACCTTACATTTTAAAAGCAAGAACATACCTTCAAAATCAGGCATCCAAGGCATATGCAACAATACTAAAATTACTAACTTATGAGTGGAAGAAAAATGCAGTACTTGAAATTATCAACACAGTATGCAATCAGTAAAAGTATTTCATGTTTATTACATCTTAAGTGCCATACAATAACTTGATTATGTACCCACGTCAAGGATTTTGAGAAACTTTTAGAACTTAAGAACACAAGTTTTTTCAAAATATCTTCAACACAATCACCTGGTAAGTTGTGAGATGAGGATGAGGCTGTTACCCGCTTACATACAGACTTTACTTATTTACCACTTCTATGACATAGCCATTTGGTTTTTCCAGTAGTGGAGCACACTGGCAACCTCACCCAGCCATCATCTCTGCGGGCGTATTGCTAGGACAAAGAGATTCCTTTATGCCACTGAAATTAACTACTATTTATTGGAAAACTTATTTCTTAACTCTTCAGGACCCAAATTTCTCAGGGGTGGCTCTGAGTACCATAATTTCAGGACTGTCATCTGATTACAAGGCATAGTTTCCATAAGTGGCAGAGGTTCTCACATAGAAGTGATTCACTGCCACGAGGGACATCTGGCAATGTCTAGAGACATTTTGCTTTCCACAATTAATTTCATGGAGGTGGAGGTGTTACTGACAACGAGGAGGCAGAAGCTGGGGATGCTGCTAAACATCCTACAATACATAGGACAGCCCCCACGACAAAATGTCAGTAGCTGAGCTGCCCAGATCTATGATGTTATTTGTACCCACTCTAACAAGACTATTTACCAGGTCTTCTTTTTTTCAGAAACAACTATAGTAAGATATTTCTGGCAAGTACCTGATTGAATGAATCTACCATATCATTCTTATATTTACCTGAAAGGAATGTAGGATGTAGCTCCACACATTAATATTCTATATGCTTCTTCTGGAGCTCTCCCCAAATATATAACCTATATTTGAAAAGAGAAGAAAAAAGCAATTTATTTCTAAATGAAGATACAGTGCTGTCACTGCAAAAGTTTGTATAATTTCTCTCTGATTAACTGAGCCTGATTCTCCAGCCTTCCCAAGGACCCTGGGAGTCACCCAGGACCCTATCAGCCAATTCCTTTTTAGCTGGAATCTGCTGTAGCTAGTTTCTGTTGCTTGCACTAAGAGCACTGAACAACTCCCCAACAACCTTTTGTGGTAACAAGTAGAGCATTTTAAAAACAGATTTTCTAAATCAAGATATTAGACTGAGCACATGCTTTTAGCCTCATCCCTTTCCTGAAAATCCACTGAAATGACTATAAAGAAGTGTGTGGGGGATGGAGCTAGGAGGTGGACTGAGAATGGGGACGAGGACATAAGGCAAAGCAAGAGTTTGATTAATTCCATCCATTTAAATTTAACTACTTATAAGTACTGAACAGGTTTCCTATAAAACTGCATTTGCTTCTTATTTTCATTGGCTTCTTTTATCCTCAGAACTACATTAGGCTTTCACCTTATCTGGTAGAATTACTTCAAGTAGATTCTTTAGCACTTCGGGTCCAATAGCTTCTTGTTTTCTGCCCTGACATTTACTATGCATATGATTTTTGGTGGACAGTTCCTTTCTCTCAATAATTCATACATGTTGTTCCACTGTCTTCTCAGTTCTAGTGTTGCAGAAATATTTTACTAGCCTCATTCTCTCTTCCTCTTATAAGAACCTGTTTCAGAAATTTGGAGTTTGAGAATTTCACTGGCTTCCCTCTAAGTGAGTCATCCTCAATCTCCAATTTAGTTTGCCTGAGACTTCCTGACCCCCATTCAATCTGAAGGCACAAGTCTTTTTCCAACTCAGAATCTTCCCATAAGGCAGGACATTTTCAGCTCATACATGGTGGAAGGAGAGGTGGTCACCAGCATCCGATTTGGCACATATATTTTTACATAAATTAGATTCCATGCTAAGGCTTATTTTGGGATAATATACTTGAAATTTTGAGTTGTAGGGCATCTGGGTGGCTCAATGGTTGAGCATCTGCCTTCAACTCAGGGCTGCTCCGGGATCGAGTCCCACATCAGGCTCCCCACAGGGAGGTTGCTTCTCCCTCTGCCTATGTCTGCCTCTCTCTTTGTCCCTCAGGAATAAATAAATAAAACCTCTAAAAAAAAATTTTTTTTTTTACTAGTAAAAAGAAATCACTAAAGAAGTCCCTGCATGGCTCAGTTGGTTAAGTGTCTGACTCTTGATTTCAGCTTAGGTCGTCATGATCTCAGGGTTATGGGGTCAGGAACCATGCTGAGCTCCATGATCAGCAGAGAGTCTGCTTGAGGATTCTCTCCCTCTGTCTCTCTCATGCATGCTCTCTCTCTCTAAAATAAATACATTGAAAAAATAAATAAATAAAAATAAATAAATAAAAAATAGATAAATAAATATATTTTTAAATCACTAAAAAAATTATAAACCTCTAATCTCCATCACTTACGTATATGAGCTGTTTCCTCAACCTAATTGTGAGCCCGATGAAGTGAGGACCCATCTCTTAGGCTTCATTTCAAACTCCTGGTTCATATACTATACATGGACTCTTACTGAATTTTTAATTCACTAACCTAAATCTACTTACAATAGTAAATTTTAAAAAATCATTGGATTAAGAGAAATCATACAATCACAGATCCAACAAGGATCTTTAAAACTCTGAGGACATATCCCAAAACTAGTCATAACAGTTGAGTCACCTTCCAAAGGGCATTCTACCAATTTTCTGTTTTAAGAATCATAAATGGAACCTTTTCCCGGTGTCTACACTGTTTCTTTTCTTTTCTTTTCTTTTCTTTATTTATTTGAAAGAGAGAATGTGCATACACACAAGGAGGGAGAGGGGCAGAGGGAGAAGCAGACTCCCCAGGGAGCAGGAAGCCTGATGTAGGGCTTGATCTCAGGACCCTGGGATCATGAACTGAGCCAAGGCAGCTGCCTAACTGACTGAGCCACCCAGGTGCCCCTACACTGTTTCTCAATATGGTTTCATCCCATTTACTCTAAAAAAAAAAATTACAAAATTTCAATTAACTATACAGAATCTTGTAACGTTTATCTAGGGCAGCATACAAATCCACAAAAAAGGTACAAGAAAAAAACATCAATTCCAAGAATAAATATTTTGTTACCTAGAACCTAGTACAAATTTTCAAGTATAATATTCATAACTCCTGGGCAGCCCAGGAGGCCCAGGGGTTTAGCACCGCCTTCAGCCCAGGCTGTGATCCTGGAGGCCCGGGATCGAGTTCCACATCGGGCTCCCTGCATGGAGCCTGCTTCTCCCTGCCTGTGTCTCTGCCTCTCTCTCTCTCTCCTTGTGTCTCTCATGAATAAATAAATAAAATCTTTAAAAAAAAGTATTCGTAACTCATATAAGATTGCAATTTATCACGAACTAAAGCACACATAATCATTTGTAATCTTACTCATCTTAGTTGTCTATACGTTACTTCTCTTTTAGGCCTCAACTTATCACGTGACTTTCTATTTTATTATTATTCATTTGGAAAAACAGCATGACAATTCTTTTAGGAAACATTAAAAATAATTTTAAATCCAACCCCCTCCTTTGCAAATTTCCTCATTCTTTGTTAGGCTCCAACATCTTTCTTTTCTCTTCTAAGGTTTACTGTACAGCATCAGAAAAGTCTTTTCTTGTCTTTCTTCTATTTTGGGACTTACTAGTAGATAGAGACTCCCCTCCAAAGACCACCCTGAAACCAAAACAAACCAAAACCAAATAAAAAAAACACCTTGAAGCCAATGAGAGGGAGAACAAGATTTGATTCATTTGTATTTACACATGTATGTGTATGTACACATAATTTAAATTAAATGAAATCGAGACCTTTTTCAGGTTTCCCTATTTCTAGCAAGACTGTCTCTCAAATTATATAAATTTTTCCTCAAGAAAAAGATAATTCCTCTTTATATATTAAATGCCTCTTCATACATTAAATAATTGTTGGTCAGCCTTGGAACACAAGTTTAATTCAAAGAACACAAGGGCAATGTAACATTTTCTCCTTTGGGGGAATATTTATTTTTTATTACTGTTTTAAAGATTTCTTTATTTATTCATGAGAGACACAGAAAGAGAGAGGCAGAGACACAGGCAGAGGGAGTAGCAGGCTCCCTGTGGAGAGCCTGATGTGGGACTCAATCCCAGATGCCCTATCATGCCCTGAGCCAAAGGCAGAGGCTCAACTGCTGAGCCACCCAGGCATCCTTTTTAATTTTTATTTATTCTTTAAAAGATTTATTTATTTATTCAAGAGAGACACAGAGACAGAGGCAGAGACACAGGCAGAAGGAGAAGCAGGCTTCTTATAGGGAGCCCGATCCTTTAGGGGAATAAAAACTAAATCCCTTTACTTTGAAAAGTAGTAAACTTTTCAAAAACGTTATTTTTAAACCCAGTTGTGGAATGACTGTACATAATGTACATAAATAGATACTGGGTATAATGAGATAAGTTAAAGGAAATTTATAGACTCAGAATGAGCCCAAATATGCTATAGTCTGAATGTGTGTCCCGCCTTGCAAATTCCTATGTTGAAATCCTAATCCTATGGTTAGCCATAGGGTGGAACCATCATGGATGGGAGGAGTGCCTTATAAAAGAGGCTCCAGAGATCCTTAGCTCCCTTCTGCCATGTGACAGCCCTCACCAGGTTGCTGACACACCCTGATCTTGGAACTCCCAGCCTCCATAAGAGAAATAAATTTCTGTGTGTTTATAAGCCTCCCAGGCTCTGGTAGTTTGCTACACCTACCCAAAAGGACCAAGACACACAACTATTAAGTAAATATTTGCAGCTAGTATCATTTTTAATTGTACACCCACACATCTTCCCTAGTCAAAAGGCCTTGCCATATGAAATTATTCTAAATATAAGAAAAACCCTATAAATGGCTCCTATATTAACACAAATCCTCAAATTAGTAAAATCTAAATCAGTGTAATTTTACGAACCGTCAGTGTTCCTAGCAATTTGGAAGCTAGGTCCTTTTCAAATTCCTTTGGTATATTTTCATGAGAAGCTATGTACAAATATAGAATGGTCATTCTAATTCCACATTGCTGTCCAAAAATAGGAAGCAACAAATGAGGAACAAGAGAGAGATTAAACAGCTGTGGTAGCTAGCTTCCAAAACAGCCCTCATGATGCTCACTTCCTGGCATTCTCACCTTGTGGAGCCCCCTCCCACAATGAATAGGGCACCCATGTGTAAACAATGCACAAATGGCAGTGTGTGGCTTCTGAGTCTAACTCATAAATGACACTGTGGCTTCTGTCTGGGATTTCTCACTCTGGGTACCTCAAGGTGTCATTAAGTGAGGGTACTCGGGCAGCCCGTGTGGCAAGAAGAGAAGCCCCATGCCAATAACCAGTGTTAACTGACAAGCCTTCAGATGACTGCAGCCCAGTGGGGTAATTCGTCAGGCAGCAATAGGTAATAGAGTAGCATGATAAACAGTGAGTAAGGAAATAGTCACTTCAGTTAAGAGAGGATAAATAAGCAAATAGGTGACAAGTGCAGAGGTAAACGCAAGCAAGCCCCATGGCTTAGAAAGCATCAGAAGGGGGAGCATGCTGTCATCTGTCTCTCTGAGGTAGGTAATCTCTCTGAAGAAGCAAATGGCAATCTCACAGGATGAATAAAATATTGTGGGACAAATATCTGATAAGTCAGTAGTGCTTTTTGAAGTCACAGTGCAAAGATCTTCTTTGCTGAGTAGTACCATAGTCATTTCTAGGACTTCCATGTCCGTATTTTTAAATTATCATCTGCATGCCCCAGTCCCTGTAAAGACTCTGAACCTTAGACTACAGACCTATGTTTTGAAACCTGGGAAGGGCTCGACCAGTGATGAATGAAATCAGTGGATTGAAAGAAAAGAATCACAGCCTGATCATTTGGTTT